CCTTAAGGACGAAATGAACCCCAAAAGGTTTTCAGGTTCATATACCATATAGGGATTCATAGTATAAGTAGGGATTCATAGTATAAGTAGGGATTCATAGTATAAGTATAAGGGTGTAGGGCCCCTACTTATAAGGGTCATTTGGTCCTCAAGGTTGTGGGATCTTCGGAAGACGTGGAGCCAGAAACCACTTTCGCTACCTGAATCGCCGAAGCCTCAAACCCAAGAAGCCCCAAATCCACTCTGCGCTCCCCAAAAGTCCTAAACCATCAGCACCCAAACCTCGAGAAGCCTACAATGCTAAGGCCCAAATGCTGAACTCAACCAAAAACTCAGCTGAGGCTCAAACCTTTTGCTACACACCCTTTAACTCTAAGCTTTACCCTCGAGCCTGAACACCAAAGCTTTTAAACCCTAAGCACCCAGCAAACCACAAACTGAGACAAGGACGATCGACGTGAAGGCGCTTGTCCTTGGAAAAGAAGCCACGGGGATGTCGAGTGATCTGTCTTGGGTTTAGGGTTTAGGGTTTAGGGTTTAGGGTTTAGGGTTTAGGGTTTAGGGGTTTAGGGTTTTTTCCCTAAAGGTTTAGGGTTTAGGGTGATCTGTCTTGGGGCTTCAGCATTAGGACTTACAACTTGCATCGAAAATCAAAAAAGCTAGCAGCGTTCAGAAACAAATTCTGCTTACAAGGGCGACAACAACGTGGCTATCTCAGCTAAGCAAACGTCAGGCAAGTCCCCAATATGAACCTTGATCAGTAGGTTCTCTAACGGACAAACAGAATTTCAGTGGGCTGCAAGAAACCCTAAGTCCTGAACCCAGAATAAACGAGCTTATACGGAAATTAAGCCTGACAAACTTCGCCAGTACACGCCAGCAAACCAATGTCAGGAACCCACCGAAATCCGAAACCTGAAGTAAACCTCTGACCTTAAATCCCTAGTCAGAAGCACTAACCCACCCGTGTAGCAACTCAGGGCACGCTGGAAGCTTTCCCTGGGGCAGTGGCGCCGCCAGATGCCGGCAAACCGAACTTCTGCCGACACCTGTTGTGGAGCGACCGTGCTTTTGGTAGGCTTTACGGGTTCAAGGCATATGTAAAAGGCCATGAATCCTGGTCTCCCCGTGGCCTGAGTCGGAGAAGGGCCAGTTGTCGAGTACAGCTACAGGGTTTTCTCTGTCAGTGACCCTTGGTTCGTACAGCGAATGCTTCTTGCTGCGGCTTCCGTGGGGAGGGCTGCTAGGGACGCTCTTGATCTTGAAACGCAAGCAACTCCTAGCCAAACACACCTGTTCCTGCCATGTGGAGCAACGGTGTGTTACGGATCCCCCAAAATAGTATAGGTAATTTTTTGGGCCCCTAGTGGTGGTGCTGGTGGTGCTGGTGGTGCTGGTGGTGCTGGTGCTACTGGTGCTGCTGCTGCTGCTGCTGCTGCTGCTGCTGCTGCTGCTGCTGCTGCTGCTGCTGCTCGCTGCGGCTGCTGCTGCGGCGAGGTTTAGGGTTTAGGGTTTAGGGCTAGGGATCAAAGCCCCCCCTACATCTGTACCCCCAGACTCTTCTCCTTGACCCTTGACCCCAAAACCAAACTCTAAAACCCTGAAGCCTTACAGCCCGAGACCCAAACCCCAAAGCCTTAACCGTCCCTAAGCCCAAAGAAGCCGTGGGCCCAAACCTTGAACCCTAACCGAAGTCCTTAAATGTAGGGGCATTGATAATTAGACTGTGGTTTCGGGCGGGGGGTATATTATACTCTAATTATAAAGGAACCCTCAAAATAGCAATTCGCAATCATGTAGGCCCCGATACCACCCTGAACCTGAACCCTAAAACCCTTTTTTGCAACAGGCTTTCCACTTCGCCCCCCTAAACCCTAAACCCTAAACCTTGAACCCTAAACCCTAAACCCTAAAACCCTAAACCCTAAAACCCTAAACCCTAAACCCTAAACCAAAGTCCTTAGTTCGAAGCCTTCGCTCTGCTTGCTCCAGATCTTCGGCCTGCGAAAGTGCGAGGACCGGCTTCCTTCGCTTCGGGTTTAGGGTTTTGGAGCTTAGGCTTCAGGGTTTTAGGGTGTAGGGCTTTTAGGTTCTAGGGTTTTAGAGTTTAGGCTTCAGAGTCTTAGGGTTTAGGGTTTTAGGGTGTATGGTTTTAGGTTTGAGGGCTTCGGGTCAGGGTAAGAGTTCAGGATTCCTGATGTGGGGCGTCGAGTTTAGGATAGTATTGGTGAAGAGTGTGAGGCAGCTTAGCACTAGGGGCACGATCCCGAGCGTGATTGGGGCTTGATGGTCTTGAGTTCAGGGTGAAGGGAACAAGATAATTATCGGGGTGACGGTGAAAAGGCTTCGAGGGGTTAGGAATATGATGCCTGCTGCTATTTGCTATGGTCTGTTGCATTGAGTGCAGCATAAGCACGAATGAAAGTATGACTGCCAGTGTTGCGCTTCATGCTCGTTCTTGTCATTCAACTGACATGTGTGAAACTCTTTACTGGTTACGTTGGACCTTAGGTCGCACAGGGCAAGGTGTGCTTCACAACTTCCTTGCTTTGGGTTTGGATGGCCTGAGGTATGGCATGAACTCGGTGCGAGGACTGAGTATACTTGACTGTCTGGTGCTTAGTAGGGAATGAGGGAATGGATCCCTATGATAGTCCCTTAAGGTCCCTTATAGTAGTTCCCATAACCCATTCCACCATTCCCTACTAAGCACCAGACAGTTGAAGGCTCAAATTTCGGAGCATCCAAGGAGCTCAGGGGGACGCTGGTACCAAAAATTCAGACCTCCCATTCTACACTCGACCCGTTTTCCCTGTCTTTTGGGGACTGACAGTCGGGAGTTTGCGGGGCCTTAGGATTCGGAACTTGGGATCCCCCAAAACTTCTGACTGCATCAACTTCTGAAGTCTGAACCATCCTTGGAGCCGAAAGCAACAGCCCTAAAGCCCTAAACTCAAAGTCCCAAAGTCCGAAAGCCCTCAGCGCAACACCTCAAAGCCCTAAAGCCCTAAACTCAAAGTCCCAAAGTCCGTAAGCCCTCAACCCCCGAAAACTACGTCCTGCAACCATCTTAAAACACCGAAGCTCGTTCCATAAACCCTTTTTACACAGGACCCTAAACCCTAAACCCTAAAGCCTATTCCCTAAACCCTAAACCCTATTCCCTAAACCCTGAACCCTAAACCCTAAACCCTATTCCCTAAACCCTAAACCCTATTCCCTAAACCCTATTCCCTATTCCCTAAACCCTATTCCCTAAACCCTAAACCCTATTCCCTAAACCCTATTCCCTAAACCCTAAACCCTATTCCCCCAAGCCCTTAACCCTGAACCGTGGCTCTGAGCATGGGGCGGTGTAGACGCGACCATTGAGATTCACTTCACGCTTGCCACTTCTCCTGGCGGGTCATGCTCGGTTTTGGGTTTAGGATTTTTTTCCCACCCGCTTCGTTGTTTTGGGTTTAGGATTTAGGGTTTAGGGTTTAGGGTTTAGGGTTTAGGGTTTAGGGGTTTAGGGTTTAGAATTTAGGGTTTAGGGGTTTAGGGCTGAGGGTTCAGGATTCATGGGAGGATGGAGGAGGTGATGATTGTGATGATCACGGATGACGATGGCGCAAAACGGCCCCTAAACCCTAAACCCTAAACCCTAAACCTATGCAATCTTGTCATGACATTCACGCGGATCTTGCCACCGCTATCATTGCCACCATCAATACCATCCACTTTGGTGATCCTGCAAAAGCACTGCCATCAATGCTGCTAGCTGCTGCCTTCAGGCATGCGGACGATAGCACGCAATACTAAAAAGGGGACCCCAATATAGTACCCTAAATAATAGGATCCTTATTATAAGGACCCCCAAAATAAGGTACCCTAATTTTCGGAAACTCCTATAAGCCCTATAAACCCCTAAACCTTAAGCCCTAAACCCTAAACCCTAAGGTCTATGTAAGCCCTATAATGGCCCTATACTCCAGCTATGCATGTCAGTCAATCCATCTTGGCTGCACAAGGAATGGTTCAATAGCTGCAAGAGGCAAAGGCCCAGAGACTCCAAGATCCCTTAATTAAGGAATATACCTTAAATTATAGTAGGATCCCTAATATGATTTAAGGTATATTCCTTAATTAAGGGGTATTGGAGTCCCTGGGGGATTTGAGGCTTTAGGGTTGACATGCTTTGGATTTTCGGGGTGTGAAGGTTCAAGGCAAGGCTTTGCGGCTGGAAAACTGTAGGCAAAATGGGGGTCTTGGGGTCCCCTAAACCCTAAACTTTACCCCTTTTTGCATCAGGACTTGTGCAATCGCCTGAACTAAGCTGTACCCCTAAACTCTAAACCCCTTAACCCTCAAACTTTTCAGTGCTCGCCACGGTTCGTCGGGCAAAGGTTGGGAGAAAGACACCGCAGACCCCGCAAAGCTGATGCAGCTTGCGTAGCAGTTTGAGGGTTTAGGGTTTAGGGTTTAGGGTATGCTTCCTTAAGGACGAAATGAACCCCAAAACGGTTTTCAGGTCATATACCACATAGGGATTCACAGTAGAAGGGTATCGGGCCCCTACTTATAAGGGTCATTTGGTCCCCAAGGATGATGCAAGGAGACACACATCAGAGGACACACTTGGGAGTTTCCGAAAATTAGGGTACCTTATTTGGGGGTCCTTATAATAAGGATCCTACTATTTAGGGTACTATATTAGGGTCCCCTATTTTTGGAAACCCCCACTTGCCGAAACAGAGGAGATATGCAAACCTGTATATGCGTAAACCTGCAATTACTAATAATGTGAGTCTATGTAAATACCTGAACTATATTCGTGCGTTCGCAGGCTCATACGCATGGGTATGGATGCCTGTATTTGTAGGTGGGGTTGGAGCGATGACTGTTCAGCGCGGTAGCAGGGTCCTCGTCACAAGGACCGCTGACATGATATATAGACTTGACCCCAGATCAAGTCGGCACCCGAAACTTTGCAGCAATTAGGCGCAAGTCAGGCAAACTTTCCAGGACGTGGGCTTTCGTCAATGCTGTCCTCCTCGGCTGGGCGTAGTGGCGAATCAGAGTGAAGGGGGGGAGATTTACAATGGTATCGCCGGTATCGAGTGTAATGTAAGGCTTTACACGCTGTAGGATTCAATGATATTCCAAACCACCCGTGGCTGGGCAACAGGCCTTTAACTCGAGAGGTGCTTTGTAAGATCGTTTCTTAAAGCCGATGAACCAGCAAACATCAACCAGCATAAAAGCCCAACCAAACTCCATGGAAACCATAAGTCTCAAGCAACAACGTGCTCTAATTCCTCAGGACCAAGGGCAGTAAGCCGGAATCCGAGGTGGCGTAGCCGCCCAGGTAAGCCGCGACATCCTAAGTGGTCGGGGATGGGTTTTAAGGGGGTCTTATCGGATTTTGCAGGGTTCTATACTGAGGTAGATTCTGTAGGGTTTAGGATGGTTTAAACCTTCCAAGGTTTGGGCTATGGGGTTGCTGTGGGTATGAAAGTTCAGGGATTTAGGGTTTAGAATCTTATCAATCATGCAACCCTAAACCCCAAACCCTAAACCCTGCTAGGTTCTCCTATTCTCCAGGATCCCCTTAACATTAAGGTCAATTGTTCACTACTACGCCAACTTCAGATACGGAGACCCCGATGCAAAAGGTGAGATGGGTTCTACTTAGTTGGAATCTCGGGTTTAGGGATCCAGGGTTTAGGGGAATCTTATCAAGTTCGGGATCATGTTCGGTTGAAGGATTTAGGTTTGGTATAGAAGTTCGATGGCCCCGGGCGTGCAAGCAATCATTATGCGCTTCGGCTAAGGCTTAGGGTTGAGGTTCAGGGCTTCTATAACGTTTACAGTATGCTTTGTTGGGATCGACATCGCACCACCGATATGCATGTAAGCCATAAGCTTTCAACCGTTGTTAAGTCTAACAGGCAAGCGTAAATGTCACCAGCAACACCACCCTCCAAATTCCGGCCCTGACGACTTCAGCGTCAGCCGTATCTACAAATAGTGTCAGTACTGCAGCCCCCAGTGATGGCGCTTGGAATACCCAGCGCGTGCGGCTCTGGTTGCAGGCTCCACGCGACTAGCATCATCAGCAACACTGCCTCTTTTTTGCGGGTGCCGGGCGACCAGCGCCAGCATCATCAGCATCAATGTCCCCTCCCTTTCCGAACTGTGCGATGAGCACCTGCATCATCAGCACTGGTCTCATACCGAAGCATCATCAGCATGCTGCACGTGTTGGGCGAAAAGCGGCACATCATCGGCATAATTGGCCTCTCGTTTTCGGAAACTGGGCGACCAGTGCCAGCATCATCCGCATTGCTGGCCCCTGGTTTCGCACTGCAGCATCATCAGCATTGCTGGCTTCTTTTGTTGGACGGCCTCTCTGGTTTCACATAATGCAGCATCCTCAGCACGACATGCCGGGCGACGACCACCGGCATCATGAGCATCACTGGCCTCGCATTTCTGGTACTGGCAGATTCCCATCACCCTCAATGCCCCTTCGTTCCGAGCATCGGGTGACCGCAGCCAACATCGGTGTTTTGACGCACATCCTGGGCGAATAGCCCCAGCATCATGAGCATCATTGGCCTCTCGTCTCCGGTACTGGGAGACCAGTGCCAGCATCATCAGCATCACTGGCGCGGGTTCGAATACATCATAAGCATTACTGGGTTGTTTCGCTGGCTGGGCAACTGTCCGAAGTTCGCCGATCAAACTCGGAATCCCAAACCCTCAACCTCAAATTCAAGCCCAGGCATTGAAGCATGTCCTACGCTGAGGGGCCGGTGCTAAACCCCAAGCCGTACATTGTTGGCAAGTGACGATGGTCTGACAAATGGCACCGAAGATGAGGACAGCCTGGTTCTTCCAGGCTCCAAGAAATTCAAGGTTTAGGGTTTAGGGTTTAGGGTTTAAATAACGGCTTTACCGGGTTTTACAAGGCTGTTTCATACAGGTGAATAATTAAGTGACTCGACTGTGCTTGATTTTTGTTCAAAGAGGGGTGGGGTGCTACTGTAAACATAGGGGGAGCTAGCGGAAATACACTACGAACTATTCAGGCATCAAGTGACAGACTGCACACTTGGTTTCGATGCTTGGTAGGCTCAAGGGATCGGAGTGCTCCAGGGGCTGTTTAGGGTTTAGGGTTTAGGGTTTAGGGTTTAGGGTGTTGTTGCAGGATTTTCGCCTCTGCGAATTTGAAGGCTTGGCGAGGTTGAAGCTTAATGGGCTTGGACTCAGCAGATATTTATCACGACAACTCAGCCGAACAGTACCAATACTACGTAGTGCAGCATTCCCGGGACATCGTGCAAACTATCCCAAACCGACAGTAAAAGGTGTGTGCTGAGGCCAACGACCCTGGTGGCATACATCGCGCTACGGAAGGGCTCCGTGCTCGGCACCTGTCCAACGGCTGCAACAAGGAAAGGCAGGGAGGAAAGCTTCTGCCGGTGGCCCCACACCAGTTGGGGTTAGGGATAGGTTTTCGAAAGTTTCCAAGTTAATGTCTGGTACCTATAGCCCGAAAAAACAGGCCGACAGTGATTCTAGCTCTCGGGTCATTGTTCGAAAAGCAATCTGAAGGCATTCTAGTGTTGGATTGGTGGTGATCCAAATCCCTACAACACACTGCCAGCACGGCTTGGGCTTCAGGCTCTGAAACCTTTTCAAAAAGAAGAGGTTTCGTGTCAACTCTCCCCAAAGCTTCAGTCCGGAACCATGTGCAAAAATGCTGAACTCCAGCTGAAGCTTTCCAAGCCTTCAGATTCTTAAAAGCTATTATGGAGGCTTCGGCAATCTTCATTCCTCCGGCCTGGCCTGCAAGAGTTTGAGTATTATGGTTTCAGCTATGATCTTCAAGCCACTGAAACTTCAAATTTATAGGTTGAACCTCAGTTCTACAAGGACAGAGCCTGGATCACGACCGAGTGGATCAGCAGGACCTTCGCATGAAGGCTTTGGGTCGACAGTATGCGCTGAATTGGTCTTGCAAGATTTCGCTCAGGTGACTTTAGATGAATGTGGCTAGTTCTCTGAATTAGGGACACCTTTTCGGTCCCCAATATACTGCGGCACCCAAACCCTCTAGAAACCCTTACAAATCCCTTTAAGGAACCCTATATAAAAGGCCTCAAGGAGCTGACCAGAGTTTCGTGCGATGCTACGCAGTGCGAAGAAGCCTCGAGGTCAAGGGCCTTCTGGCCCTTTAAATCGAAGGGAGCAAACCGTCTTGATGAGTCGGTCAGTTTAGGGCTTAGGGTTTAGGGTTTAGGGCTTAGGGTTAAGGGTTTAGGGTTTGGGGCTTAGGGTTTAGGGTTTAGGGGTTAGGTTGGGATGCAAGGCCCGGGGTTTCGACGAAACAAGTGCAGAGCTTCATCCCGTTCCCCCCTACACTGGATACCCCAAGTCGTGAGACCTGAAACCAGCACCTGAAGCCCCTGTTTTGGCATGCAGGCCTATTGCAACTGCCGGGTACCCCTGAAACCCCTAAACCCCTCAACCCTTAACCCTAAGCACAAAGCTTTAAACTCAAAACCCAAGAACCCAAAACCATATGAGATCCAGAACTGAACCGCTGATACTTTGCTTGAGACTTGGAACACCAAATACAGGGGCCCAAGTGATTTGAATGGGGTTTTGGGGGGGTTCCATATTATAACGATAGTATAATAGACCCCAAAACCCTAATCTGATTCTTAAAGCCCCTATATTCTAATTATTCGAGCCCCCGAAATTAAGCCCTGAACCCAAAAACTTTTTGGCCATGACAGACCCGACTTTGGGTTCTTTGCTCTCAAGAACCGAAAGGTCCGATCCGACCGCGCAAAGAGTTCTGGGCATCCGGCGATGAAGACCTGAGCAGATGCACTTGAGTAATACGGTTTGGGGTTTCGGGTTTAGGGTTTAGGCTTTAGGCTTTAGGCTTTAGGGTTTAGGCTTTGGGGAATACTAAGCAAGGGAGGGTCATTTCCCAGTTCGTTCCCCTACCTACACCTATACCCCCCCCCTACGCTTTTACAC